AGCTGGACTTTTACTTTCTCTAATTTCATTCTCTGGTACTCGACCTGGTTTCTTCCTTTTCAAAACCGCAAGAATAGAAGATTCTCTTTCTGGAAATGCTGGCATTTCCTCTAAAACTGTAGCCTATAAAAAGAATAATAAATAGTTATAGATATGTATAGAATTATATAAACTTTGTTTCTTTTTTCTTTTAAGAATTATAATATATTTTTTAAAAAACTAATTAAAATTAATTTATTTACCAAAACATCACTAGAAGCGATAATACTCAATTGAAGATATTCCGAAGCTCTTTGTTGTAACTCTGCATCTGCACTGCGTAAATTACTATGTTGTCTAAAGACATCTTGAATTTGACTTCTCATTTCAGGAAACAGATTAACAAATTTAATGTACGTCGAAAGTAACAATGCACGAGTCATTGGAGAACATAAGTGATACTGAAAAATAAAAAAAAAATCATATAAATATTTAATGTCAACAAATTTTTAATTACATAAAGATATACAAAACTTACTACTTACTTTGGAATGTAATAATTGAAACTGAACAGCTGGAGAAGATCGTTGATCACCAGCAATAAGATTTCCAAATTCTCCAAGTATATAACCACCAACTTTAACCATATTTTCATGGCAAGCTGGTGCTTGTAAAGCCTAATAAATATTAATATTTAATATAAAAACTTGATTATACAATAAATTTTATATAATAAAAAGAATATATATTTTTTTTTTAATTTATATTAAAAATATTATGATAATAATATATATACTAATATAATTATAAATTTATATTATTTACCTCGAAAACAGTCTTTGCTGCATATCCTTGTACATCTTCTCTATTAATAACGATTTGAATAACTCTATACCATACTTCTTCCGAAACATAGTCACCAGCTATCCTAATGAGATTTAAAATGACGTCAACGTACCAAGTATAATCGGTAGCATACTTTTCGGCTAAAATCGCCACTTTAAGAACCATTTCTTCTCTAATGGAATAATCAGCAGTTTCGAGATAATTCAACATTTCTTGAACTATTTCTTCAGCATTGCTTTTATCACACATAGCATATAAAAGATCGACAGCCTGTTGTCTAACAGATACATCTTTTTCCATTTTCATAGAAAGAATAACAACTTCTTGATGTTTCTTTACAGCTTCATGTGACAGTTCTGATGTAGCTAAATGGCACATGGATTCAAGTGCTAAATAGCGAAGATTAGTTTCACGATTAGATAGAAACTGACCAAGTTGATTACATGCTCTGACTGATAAAGGCAGTTCACTGTCATTATGAATAATTAAACTAATGGCTTCAAATAATACAGCATTTTTTGCATTTGAATGTTGCACCTTTTTTGATTTTGGTGGTTCTTGAGCTTTATTTAATATAGTTTCTAGACATTCATTTAATCTACCTCTTACTCCTGGATCTTCAGCTATTAGAACATTTAAAAATATAAAAATAAAATATTATTATCTTAATATTTTTCCTTTATATTATGAAATTTAAAAATTATTTAATTTACCAGGTGGTGTATAATTCTGTAATAATCGTAAAAGTTTAACAGATAACCATGGTGCTGGCACAAAATAATATGTATAATCCTGTAGATCTGTGTAACTTGATGTCACAATCTATTGAGATAGAATAAAGATTAAAAAATTATTTTTTGATTATGAATCAAATTAACAAATTATGTCATACCCTGCTCAATCTTGAAACTGCTAAACTAACACATCCTTTGTATTCATCTGGATTTCTTTTTACTAAAGCATCTATTAAAGATGCAGCTGCTGTAACAACACCAAGATGCTGATCATTTAAAAGATGAACTATGCGTGATGTCCATTCTCCACCAGGAACAACATCTGGTGCAGTACGTAATAATCGTAATAAACACAATGCTGCACTTTGTTTTACAACATCCATAGTATCTCTAGGGAATTGAAAAATAATTTATAATTATTTTAAGATTTATAAATAAATAGTAAAAAAACAAAAGACATTTATACATACCCAGAAACAAGTAATTTTGGTATTTCATTGCCAAAAGCTTCTGCCATTTCTTTACTGCCAATATTTGCAATACATTGTAATGCAAGATTTACATGAATTGGATTTCTTGATGCAAGATCATTTTTTATACTTTGAATAATTAATTTAATAAGATCACTGTTTGTATTTACTAAAACTGATATGAAAAGATAGCCCTAAAATATATAATGCATATATATTTATATTTATATATTCATTATATATTATATTTATAAAATTCAAAATATTTTAATAATAATATATTATATTTATCATATCGTATATATAAAATCATATTTATATATTTATTACTTTTTTAAAAAATTGTAACACTCACAATTTGTTTTTCTGAATATTTATTGGATGAAAGTAGATTAACAGCCTCCATATGTCCAAAATCAATATCATGACCAAGTAAAAAAATAAAAAGAAGCTTACAAACATATTTCTTTTTTTGATAACCATCAAGTGTCTTGTCTCCTTTAAATTTACTACGAATATTTGCCAACTCTTTGTTTATTCTCTTAATTTCTGCTTCTTTGCTTTTACCTAAAAAAATAAGAAATTAATAGACAAAATTTATAACTTTATAATATATCATTTTAATATTGATAATATATATATATATATTGAATATAAATAAATATTATATATTATAATAAATATTGTGTAATTTTTATAAAAAATTATAATGGCTGCATGCCATTTGGATTGGCATCAAAGTATAGATGTATTGATTTGCTTTATAAAAGTCAATTTCTTATTCTAGTTGTTATATAATTATTTATTACATTAAATAATAAAAATATTATATATTTAAGATCCTTTTTTTATATATTATTTTATTTTATATTCATATATAACTATTTCTTAAAATAACTGGTTTTGACATTCATTCATTATATTATGCCAAGTATTACATATTAGTGTTTGAAATACAAGCTATATCAGAAAGATAGGCTTGTATCAGTATTCCGCCCCCTGTCTCCTACTCTTCTTTAAATATATGTATGTGTCATATTAATTTCAATGGCATCATATCTCTTAATGAAACATAGATTAAAATTTTAATGATTCAAAAATCAATTTGCATTTTATTTTATCAGATAATATAACGCATATATATATAATATTATTATATATAAAATGCGATTAATTTTTAAAAATATATTTTTAAAAAAAAGTATATCTTTTAGCTCACAATTTCTAATATCAGAAATAAATACAGCCAGACCACGCATGCCATCTCCTCTCACAGCCGGCATCTTGTTTTGGTCTATTTCAAACCACCTGTGAAATAAAATCAATTTAAAAAAATTTGCTTTCATATACAAGATATTTTAATAAATTAAATAAAATTTTCATTGAAGTGTAATATTAATTTCTATCTATAAGAATTATAATTTTTATCATAATTATAAATTTTAATTTATATAAATGTTTATAAAAAAATAAAATATACAATATTGTTTTTGTAAATAAATATTCACAATTTTGAAACAATATTTAATAAAATTGAATTTAGATGTATAATAATATTAAAATATATATATATATATAAAAGTCAATAAGATTTTATATCACTGGGTTAATATCAAGCATTATAATATTATAATTTATGAAAATTTATATAAAATTATAAATATATGATATTATTTAATAACATAAAATAAATACATTGAGAAAGATTCAAGAAAATAATTTAAATGATATTCGTTGATTAAGAATATTCCAATAAGCTCTTTGGTCCCACAAGCAAATTTAAAAGAGTATCCTCTATATTATACTTGTGTTCAATATTACTCAATGAAACTAATATATTATATAAATATTAGAAACGAGAAGAATAAATCGTATAAAGTAAAGGTCTATTTTGATGTTCGAAAGAAAAATCGAGTGATTAAGCCGGTACCGCGTCCTAGATTACGACGACAAACAGTTTTTGACAGCAGTGGGGTGCAAATGCTGATAGTGATTCTCATTACGCGGAATTATTTTTGAGAATATGCCCAAAAATAATAGCACTTTTCATTAAGAAATCATGCGAAAATCATCACATATCGATCGAGCAAATAAACAGAAAATTTCGAAAGAATAGTTAAGTCGAATAATGGCTTTTTGTCTTTCATGACCTGTCGTACGGGTGGCGAGTACAATCACTGTAACTATGTTTTTTGAGGAAAAATGTTATCTGCTACACATCTTGATTATCGGATCAGTTTTAAGTACATACCGATCTGGGTTAAGATAATGTTCACGCACTGCTCGGTCACGTAGTACTCCGTATGCGTGAAACTATTCGCGAGTCGGTGCCAGAGATTTCGTGGCTGTCGCCATTTGCAACCGTTGACTAGCTGACGGCTGCCCGTCAAATGCCACTACGCTTGCGCGATAAGTGTTGCGCGGGCAAATTTGTATTTTAAATTCCATATAACTTCATCGATCGTTTATTTTTAGGATTATACTTACATTTTCAATCTATGTTTAAAAAAAATTTTAATTATTGTTATTGTTATTGATTCTAATGTAATGTATCATATGAATATTTTATTATTATAATAGTATTTTTTAATAATAGAATATAATATTTTAATCTTTTTATAGTGATAATTTAATATTTTTTAATAAATTTTTTAATAAAAAAAAAATTATAGAATTTCATATATAGGATTATAAAATTTTTGCATTGATATTCTAAGTAATAAGGTTACTTAAAATATAAAGAATGTTGCAAAATTAAAAAAATATTTTATAATTTATATATAAATCATTAAACATGACGATAAAAAAATGTTTTTAGGAATTTTTAAAAAACTAATATTCTAACATTTCATTTTTAATTCAATGAAAATAATAAATTAACTTGCATAAATATTAATAGTATTATATATAAATTGTTTACAATATATTATTTATAAAAAGATTTCAATAAAATTTATTTGTCATTATATATACATGTTTATTAAATAATCAAATTTATTGACAATAATTTTAAAATATTTTTAAAAACAACGTTATATCTTTTTAAAATATTATTTTGATACTTGCTGCTGTATTTTTTCCAATAACATTTCTAATCTATCTTTCATTACAGGTTGTCCTTTTTTTGTTTTCTTTGAAAGTTTTTTATATGTTTGCATCCTTCTTTCTTTATAATTTTTAAGCGCTTCTTCCCTTTCTGTTTTTACTCGTAAAGCTTCTTCTTTTTGTTTCTTTTTTTCATCCTGTTTACGTAGAAATTCCTGTTTAGCCTTGTGAAAAGCACTTAAATTTTTTGGTTGTGTCCTTTTAAAAGATAAAGTTCTTTTTAATGATTAATATGAATTTTTTAATTTATTTTTCATATAAAATTTAATAAATACATACTCGTGTTCATTTTGATCATTGACTTTGGAAGCAAATGACTTTTTTACATTTTGTTGTTGGTCTTTATCAATCTGTTTGTAAAAACCTCGTAAAACAGCTTTCTTCCTGCGTTCCTCCCATTGATTAACTGTAAGTAATACAATTAAAAAAATTAAATAATATTCACAAATATATTTGAACCTAACCTATACGTATATTATTCGCACAGTTTGAAACGTACTTTTATATTTGTTACTATATTTTTTCAATCTATATTGTTTTTTGTTAAATGGTTTTTTTTCATTGTCTATAGTATCTGACTGTTTTCTATCAGAAATATCTTTTATATACTTTTTCATGATTGTTGACAAACTTTCTAAAATATCTCTATCTAGTACCGATATTGAACGTAAGAGGGACTTAAAATCAATATGTATAGAGCATTAATTGAAGATATTTAAAATGAAATTCATTTTTTCATGTATTTCATATTATTATATTGATTATTATTGTTCTATTTATTGTATATTTATATCAAAAATTAAAAATAAATTAGAATTGAAATAATTTTTCATTGATAGTTAAAGTGAAAACATAATTAAATAATGGTAATATATATTTTTTTAATATTATTCTTCATAATTTTATTTATTGTTATCGTTATTTAATCAATGAATTATAATCAATATATATAATTTATTTTTGTATCAGTATTGAAAACTTTAATAAAGCGAATAATCACAGATGTCATATCACAAATGTATAAGGAAAAATAAATTATAAAAGAATTATACTTGCACAATCATGATTATATATGCACTACAGATGTTTGTCATCACATTACGTATTATTAGTTTATTCGTGGCAGTGACATTGCCCATCACTGCATTTAGGTACTGACTTTTTTTTTAAGCACGTGTATCATAACGAAGAATGATTCATGTTTTCTAATTTTGATAATTAAAAAAATATATATTTGATATTCACAAAAGTTCTTTTTCATTATTTTTTTCTCTAAAATATAAAAATTTATCTTCAAAAATTATAAACATTTATAAAAAATTTATATTTTAATGATTATAAATAAAAAAATTCTTGTAATTAGAATTTTTTTAAAAAATAAATTATAAATTATCTTTATAATATATTTTATTAATATTTAAATATCTATTGAAATCATTATATTTTTAAATCATAAACAAAACATAAAACATGATTTATAATAAACAAAAATAATTTGCATTGAAAATTTATTCGGGATGTTTCGTTTATGTAGCAAATATAAACGTATACAAATGTTATAAGTAATTGCAGTCAGATCGTATTTCAGACTCACATAGCGCGAATGTTACAACAAACCGATTGAAATCATATTTCATGAATTTGCAAAGAAATTGTTGAAAATTGATGTTACAATACTTCTAGAAATGATTAGAGAAAGAATATAATCGGAAAAAAAATGTAAACTTTAAGATCCTGAATATTGAAATTAGATTTATTATACGTGTAAATTATTGCGAGATTTCATTCACTGAATTAGAAGATTGTGAATGTGAAGATTGAAGTTAAAATAATCTGAATGAAAGCTTAACAGTTTTGTTGAATTATTTTTGTCCGACTGTTAAAGTAAAAGATGGATACTATGATATCAGACAGTGACATCATGGCGCGTTAACCTTAAGCCCCATTTGTCCACATGTCAGTACTTACTTAGAAGTGATGCGAAATCGTCGTACGACCACATCAACCTCCTCATTCAATCTAACAATAAGTAAGCCAAGTACAAATGACTATTAAGTGCGCATTGTCTGCTCGCTACTGAAAAATTGAATGAAATTACTTTTACAATTCCGTCAGTGTCATTAACATCTAAATATTCTTTCTTCATAACAAATTGTTTGCGACAAATCTACGTTTGTATTATTTTTTTATATAATTTACGATTAAAACTACAATTTAAAAAAAAATCATCAGTTAATACCTTCTTCTTTCTTTTTAAATTTTCAATATTTGAATATTTATCATTTTTTTTTTTTTTGTAATTGGAAGAATTTAACATAAAGGAAGAGAAATAATATCAATTCGCACGATACCCTCGACATTGAATTGTCGACAAAGAATGACGAAAGGGTCGAACGGGTAAAGAATTCAGATATCGAATTTGGCCTCGGATACTATAGCTCTCTCTCGGACTTCTCGTCAACTATTAATAGTCAGTGGCGTGTGGTGAAGAGAAGTGTACTATCTTTTCTACAATCTCCGTTGTTTTCTTCTGTACATCGCGCTAGATACATATAATTGCCTGGCAAACGGTTTCGGTTCTGTCTCTTGTCTGGCATAACAATGTAATTATTCAATAAATTACTTTAATAAATTAGATTTCTTAGACACGTGGAAGTAAAATCATTTTTTGATGCGAAATTATGAGATACATTTATTTCTTCTTTGATATATTTCCCCTTAGATAAATATTACGTTATATACTCAATTTTTCATGCATTTATAAATAAATTATAAAAAATAAATTTCATTTAATCTCAACATCTTTAAACTTTTATTTTTACAATGAATGAGAAAGTGTTTTTAAATCGCCATTTTCCAGAAAAAATTTTTCTCAATAATATAGAGCAACACGTGTAGCGGTATACGTTACATAGCGAACGAACGTAAGATCAATCCATATTAGAGACCATTGTGACGCGTTTTATCGATCAGTGAAACACCCACAAAGGTGACGTCATATTAACCACGTTCTCCCACGCAAAGAGAAACTTTAAGGATTTCGTGGACGTTTGAAGGAACAAGGAAGAAACGAATTTCGTTTTCTTGAAGTTCGAGACATCGTCTGGAGGCTTGGATAGTTTGACATTGACACACTTCGTCATCAACACCAGTCTTCTCCATTCTCTTCTACAATGTATTTACTTTTACCGCGATAAATTTTAATATCACTAGTCGTGGGGATTTTTGTTTTGGATTTTATGAAAACAAAGATAAAATAATAAAAATCGATTGAAGATTAAAATCAGATTATCTTGTCAAATTTTATTCACCTGTTATTAAAAGATTAATTAAATTTAAAAATTTTAAAAATTTATTAATTTATTATTAAAATTATTATTAAAAAATTTCTTTAAATAACGAGGAATGTTATATTTATTATATTTTATTCAACATTTGAACGTACCTCTACTATATGAATGAAGACTGAAAAGGGAATAGAAACGAAGGTTGCAATCCCATCTTATTTATTTTCATTGCCTACTGGTAATCACGCCTACGATTTCGTGACTCAATAAAACTGACTAGATTTTATCATATTAGGAAATTTTTATCATGAACTCATCATTTTTTTTTTTTTTTCAAATTTTGTTATTCGTCGATTCACACATGTTTGTGAATCTGATCATCTTCCGCGAATTTCCTAAATAGATTTATACAATACAATACAATATCATCGAATATTATTATTACCTTCGTCGAGAAAAGGGTGTGATTCAATCTTCCCCCGATTGGTTTCTGTCTAACTATATCGTAGTTATCCTTACATCGTCACGTTGACGGATTGCGAGAAAACATTCCACACTGTTTGATTCATCGGAACTCGTCGACGAGTACGAAACCGGCAAAACTATTTATGAACAATAAGGAGGCGTTGTGATGCGTCGCTCCATTCAGTTCGGCGCGTGTGACGCGGTGCAACGTGCGAAAATAGCAGTCGGCATCATTTGCACCAGTGATTTAATGCCACGAAAAAAATCTTACGTAGTTCCACGAGACGTAAACAGAAAGTTATGTATGTAGTAACCGCGGCCTTCGGATCTCTCCTGTTGCCCAAATTAAAGCACCTGAATGTTCACGCGTGATTAACAAGAATGTAGAGCGACGCGTATGAGGAGAAAATGGAATGTAAATGATCGTCACGCGTGATACGATTGCGATGAGGGGCTGGATTCGTGTATGGAAAAAAAGAAAGAAAAAATGTTGTTGGAAGAAATATCATTCGAGGAGAATTTGAATTGTTCTGCGAAGTGAACCGCACAAAATGCGCACGCGAGTTTGTTGAAGATAAAAAATAATAAAGAATAATGTTGAAATGGTTTTTTACTCTATAAAAAAAAAAAAGAAGAAAAAAAAATGATGTGTAAAATATAAGAAACGCATTTTGTTTTTTTAATAGTTCTCGAGAAAATGGCATAATAATATTTTATGTTGTTTTCATTTTCTACTCACTCGTGTCGAAGAATAATAATTGATAATTCATTCGTAACGATATTTCTTCAATTTGTATTTAATTTAATTTAAAATAGTTTTTTTAAATTGTAGTGTAGCTTCTTGTTTGAGAAATATTTTTCTCGACTTTAATTTAATATAATTAACATTTAATTTAACAAATATTATTGAATGAGAGGGAAATAAAATAATATTCATCAATAAAATGTCGTTAAATATAGCAACTATTAAAGATTAAGTAAATTTACCAGAAGACAAATCTGCATAATCGGGTCGACATGATAATTGACATCTTGATATTTTCACGAGCAGTGTTGATTTAAAAATATCCTTGATTCACCATGTAATCTAATCATTCAATTAATATCGTGCAAAAAGTTTAATTATCCGTGAATATTTTTCATTAATATCTAACATTTTATGACCATGATGTAAAAATTCGAATTTTTTATTATTAAAAATTTTTTTATTAAAAAATTAATCTTTCTAGAAAAAATTGCATACATAATAAATTTTTTTGTACAAGTATTTTTATGTAATGATGAGGAAATGAAATTTTTCGAAATTTGATACCGAAATCAAATCTTCTATGCACACATGTATGCACATCTTTGACTTAAAGACAATCAATAAGGAAATGATCATATGATCATGTATTAGTCATCATCTTTCATATAAAACACAATATAACAGATAATTCGAGTACGGAATCATAATCTAATCGCCCACTGATACTTTTTATTGTTAGATCATATTTATTAAGAAACATTGTGTGCTATGTGTATAATAAAATATAAAACTTAAAATATTTTGTATTATTTTATAAAATAGAACATTGATGATAATATAAAATTTATATCTTTTTTTTTTATTATTTTTCTATCAATAATTTTGATAAAAATAGAAAATAATATAGCTTATAAATAACAATAACAAATCTAATTTATAATATTTGTATTATTTGTAAATATTGTATCAAACAAATTTTTTTCGAATGATTTAAACTTCGTGAAATTTCGTTCTCGGTTTGGACCGCGTGCACGAATCCGAACGTTTCCGGAAAATACCGAGCAATAACGAACTCCTACGAACAGTTGAGGGACAGCGTCGCGACAATCGCGACTATTTAAAGAGGATTCGGTGAGCCGCGCTCATTCTTAGGCGAGACATCGTGTAGTACGGTTGTACGTGATCGAAAACGATATTTGTAATAATCAAAATCGTTCGCGATAGCAGTGCTTCTTATTGATATATAAGCTCGTACATCTTTCAGTGGCTTTTGGTGTAAGGAAACACAAGTGTGACCTATACTACCTATACAAAAATCATGGCTGACAGTGGTATCAAGCGTAATATTCCTATCAAGCTGGGTGACTTCAGCGTAATAGACACCGAATTTTCCAACATACGAGAACGCTTCGACGCCGAGATGAGAAAGATGGAGGACGAGATGTCACGATTCAGAAGCGAATTGATGAATCGCGAAAGCAACAACTTCTTTAAGAGTACTACCAGGTATGTTGCTACCGGCGTTGCTGCCGAGACGCACCTAACCTTTTAACACGCGCACGACCGATACAATTACTCTTTTGCTTCTGGATTTTGATGAATTTCTGAAGTCGAATTGTTTTCATCTCTTTGATAATAATAAATATTATTTGAAGTATAAAATAAAATATTTAAAATTTTCAAAAGAAATGTGAATAAAATGATATGAAACAAAATTATGAATTGTAAATATAAGATGACAAATATAAGATTGAAAATTAAACAGAAATTTCGAAATTTAAATGTGTCTTACATTTCCGTTTACATCTGGGATTATAGAATCTTTTGTTTACATAGTCACAATACTGTTATAAATACGAATATAAATTATAACACGAATATAAATGTTCTTTCTAGTATAATTTAGCATGTCAAGAAATTCGTCATAATTAACAGTTAAAGATGATTGATGGTCGTGGAATTAAATAAATATATATCAACGCTGCAAAAAAACATTTTTATTTTTTTCTAATGATATTTATTTTCATTTTTTATCTCTTGCGTTTTCATGATTAAATATTTATTCCTTAGATAGATAATAAATAAACTCGATCGATGCTGCACTTTTATATATAATAAGAATATATGTAATAAGTTTTCCGTGAATTATTATCGTTATAAATATGAGTTTAAGTTATCTGATCGATTGAGGCGCGAAGTTGTTTTTCAAGTCAGCTGATAAAATCAATTTTATTACCGATCAGGAAATTATAATAAGTCATGGTAACAATATACAATTTCATAACATAGAGAAACATTCATTCGTAATATATAAATTTTGAATTTTGAATTTAAAGATGTTTATAAAAATTGAACAAATGCTGAAATTAATCGACCAGTCATTTCAAATCAATTAACAAATCATAAACATTCATTCCATACTCATACACTCCAGGAGGCGCAACAATATCCGCCATTTAATTTTTTTTGTGAATCCATGTTTGTTCGGTTGCACAACGAGTGTTGATTTTTAGCACAAATTAGCATAACACTGCATTCGCGTTACCTGAACTACCAGCATATATATACACGCTTTATACAGAGTGCTATATGTATAAGGTAATGTTGATCATTAATATTCCGATAGTTGAAAAAAAATTCTTGGAATCGATTGCAGAGTTTTATAATGATCGTTCTATAATGATGATGATATATAATATACAATAAAAAACTATTATAATATTATTATTATATATGTATATGAATATTTCTTGAAGTTCTTTTACATAAATTTTAAATTTTTGATTGGTTTTATATTATTATGAAAAAAAGATCTAACAAACTATGTAATAACTTTTCTCATGAAATGATGAGATAAAACATAGCTATAATTTATATTTATTACAATGAAATAATAAAAAAAAAATGCTTCTATCTTTGATCATTGGTAAATGTAAATTAAGGTCGCGACATTAACTTTTTTTTTGTGAATGCATACGTATACATATATGTATATTCGTTTCACGTATTTCAGTAACGCACCCGCTATTTATAGAGACTTCGTCAGTACGTTCGTTACGAACAACGGGCGAGGAGAGCCCTCTCGGCGTGCCTTTCTCGCCCAGGGGGTAAACGAAAAACAAACGATTCCGTCTGACGAAAATTTGCACCTGCTCCTTCTCTCTCGATGCACGTCTTCTCGAAGATCTGTAATGCCTGTGTCCTTGAACACAGAAATCTGAATATCTCTTTTCGTTTTTGATCTATGTAACATTTGAATTTCTAATTTCAAACGAAGTTAACAAAGATTATTCTAATTAGAATGTTCGAAAAACAAATATCTTTGTTTTCAAATTGAATATTTATTTATTTAAATTTTTTAAAGATAAACGTCCATTATTATTATTATATTTGTCTATTTATTTATTCAATATATGTATATATATATATATTAAAATTACAAATTAAGATTTCGATTAATCATTCGTATAGCATTTTTATTTCTTGAATGTAATAATATTTTTAGTATTTGAATATTTTTTTGAAAAATTTGGAATATATTTGTTGATTCGAAAACTTCTTGAGGTGCAATTCACATAAAATGGGATGCGAATTCGATGGATGAAACGAGTGCGTGCCATATGCCACGGTTTTTGCATGCCAACACCGCAAAAGCTAACAGTCGTGTTATTTTAATAGGAGGCCTGTTCGATCTTGGATATCGTGGCTTGCTATGCGATGAAACTACTAATTATAGAATCCTTGTTCTAAATTTATTATTCGATTCTTCGAAGACTGGTATTTTTTATAATATGATTTTCCAGAATAATTCAATTTACTTTTTGAATCTAAAAAGTTTTTTCTTTTATGAAATATAAAATTAATATTACAAAAAAGGCTAAAATTTTTAATTTTCATCTTTATAGAAGATAACAAAATTTAATGATTCCAAAGATTTAAGATCTCACGTTTTAAAGCGAATTTCTATTTCGAAGAGAAGGTTTACGAATTATAGCGGTCGTACATGTTCACCCTCCAACATAAATTCTGGAGAACCCTCCTCGTTTGCCACCTTGGGGAATTTCTTTCTTCCCCTCTGTTCGAAAAATTTCATCGACAGAAAATAACCTCAACTAAAATTCTACAGATTCGAGTTCATGTTGGCAAATGTGTATTTAGGTCGTGCAAAATTTATTGTGAATTTCATAATTTTCTTAGATTTTATCGATGATCTCGTGTGATTGAATGAAAAATTTGCTTATTTATTGACGTATTTTCATTCATTTGTTCTGTATCTTTTTTTAGGAGAATTCCAAATAAACAAAGAGACAAAGAATTTTATGTGCTCGTAAAATGGATTAAATAATCTTCTGTTTTCCGTTAAAATGAAATTCGAATAGTCCAATTTAAAAAGTGACTTCAATTGCGTATAAGATTAGATTAAATCAAAAGATAAAGACTTATTTAGCATTATAGACTACGTACTATATATATTCTTCAGTTTATTGATATCAGATCTTTTGTGAAATTGAATAAATTAGTTGCGTATTTTATACTATTATTTATTTGAATTACAATTTTAATAATTTATAATTATTCATTATTTTATAATTTGGCAATAAGAATTCATTAAATTATATTCTAACAAATAAACAAAATTTCTTTCTTTATTGCATAAAATTTTAATAATTTGGAAATATTAAAATCTTAATTAAAAGTTAAAAGATTAATAACAATTTTATCGAAACACGAAATTGGTTAGACATTGAACGATATATGACAATTTTTCATCTATCAATCATTATGTAAATGAATGACATATGTCGGTCATTAGTCGAACGATACATTGCATAATGGGTGACCATTTAACACAACTTGTTGCAGTGACAAAGAACACGCTCCTTCCTGTAATCTCGTTAAATACTTCATGATACTGCATCATCGCGTCATCCAACAAAAAGCATTCTTTTCAATACTATATACTTTGCATTTTAGTAATAGAGAAGTTTTCAAATCGTTACTCATTAAAAACAATTGATACTGTATTACGACGTGTTACAATATTTGTAATTTAATCACGCTAGATATTAAAAAACACTTCAAACGATTCGTGATATAAATGACATAACCTAGAATGAACATAAATTGCGAGTGTCGATTACACATGCATATCATAATACTTTACAATAGCATTGACTCTATAATAACATTTTTCACATTCTTAAATCAAATCTACAGAGAATTTAAATCTATTCGAAGAATATATCAATATCTAATCCATCTTAAGTATACTTACTATAATTATATTCTCTTAATGGAATTTAAAAAATCGTTAAAGTAAATCCTCTTTTCTTAAAAGCAATGATTGGTTAGGTTAGAGAGGACATGTTTATTGCGTCAATGTTTATCCTTGACAATGACACGTCGTAGTGGCGGTGTGTCCCCACTCGGAATCGTGAACTAAATTGCAATTGCAACGTGTGGAAAAGGTGAGGAGCTTGCGTTGATCCCGTAATATTTTGCGCAGTAATTTTCTAACCTCGTTGCAGCCGACATATCGAATCGTCCCTCTCCAATTTTCGATCGTTTCGTTTGGTAAATTACGAATTGTGACTGATGGACATAATCGACCGGAATGTATATCCACCGGATCACAAAACAGTGATCAAACTTCGGTAGGTGGCCATGCATAAAGGCAGATTTGCATTTTTGCGTTTTTCGTTTGGCTTCTCTCCAGGCATAGCGTAAACTTTTGTATACACCAGTGATTCCCAACCTGTGGACCGCATATTTCCGACTTTTCTGTTATCATTTTTATGAAATAACTTTATGTTAATGAAATGATTTTTAGCGTTAGTTGATTTTTTTTAATGATTCTTAGCTTACATTAAAGGAGATTGCAAATTATTTGAACATCAAAAAAGGTTGAAAAACACTGGCATGTACTATGGCAATTGTATAGATAGTCGTAGTGGTTTTGTTTCGAATCGATTCGTTTCGAAAGGAATATGCATGAATCGTTTGCTTCCAAAAATTCAATACATAATTCTAAAACATACCGATTAAATTTGGAATCAATTTTTCAAATTCTTGTTACATTTTTATCATATATTCATTAATTTTATTCTCGTGCAAATAGATTTAAAATTTTTATTAAAATAAATTTAAATTAGATATAATTGCTTTTGATATTTCATGATTCCCAACTTTGTAAAGAAAAATTTTGTGTTATACAATCTTACATGTATAATGAGAGAAGAGATAATAGCTTTCGTGCAACTTTCTTGAGTTTTCATGAAATATGAAATATGCTATTAACATCGCGTTTACAAGCGAAACGTGGAAGTATCAGAAATCTATCGGAAGCTTTTAAAATAATGCGGAGAAGGTTAGCCGTCAAGGTCTATGCTGGTTAAATGTTATAAATCATTCAAACGGTGTCGAGAGCATGTGGAAACCAAGTGCAAGCCGTGTGTTCCTAAAATAGTGTCTACAATTTAAACGATTGAACGGTTAGAAAAATATTT